AAGCTACAACATTAAAAACATGCGAGTTAGAAGAGTGGTACRTTTTAAAAACTGAYGTTGAGTTTTTAATAAATGTGATCAAACAGCCTTCACTTTTTCCAGTCCTTGTTCTTCTTTTATGTTTGTGTCCCCTCAGAGCAGCCAAAACAATATAAGATGTGGGCAAAACAATTTTCAGTGCCATTCAGGGTGAAGGTGGCAGAAAGTCCCTGGATGGTTTCATTGTTTCACTCTTTAGACTTGGCTTAAAAGATCAGGTTTATGATTCAAACTGTCCTAGCTTCACTTGACAATACAAACCAAATTTAGCCTCATCTGGAAAGCCAACTTTAATTTAAAAGCATTTATCATCCAATAATGACGACATACAGATATGCATCTCTGCTGTCTAATCATCTTCAAAAGCAGGGCACTGGAACACAAATCAGAGATTAAAACAGCTGAATCTACAGCCTGTTTTAAAGTAAAACAACAACACAAGTCAAGGTTTCAGCAAACAGGACCCAGATCTGAGAACAGAGAGGAAGCGAGGGCCGTGGAAACAAGAAAACAGGCTGAGGTTGGACAGAGGAAGGAAATCTAGGGAGCAAAAACATGTGAGAAAGGATGGATTTGGATTCAGAAACACACGGGGACAGGAAAGAGCACGTGTGGTTTAACAAAGACTGCTTTTCAGTAAAAACAAGCTGGTTCAGCTGCTACAGAAAATGTGACACCTCAGCTCTTATGATAGCAGTTTTAGACAAGAAGCCCAAAACACAMAGCTAATTACAATTTTTACTCTCAAACAGGAGTATATACATGCAAACTAACTACAGATATTTTTACAAGTTTGTATCTTTTCTGTTTTTATGAAAGATTTAAAATAAATGTGATTAAAAGGTCTCCAATGCATTGTGACAAGTATGATAGTTAGTGAGACTGTAAAGCTGCAAGTGGGAGCGATAAGATCTGCMTTTATGAACACCACTGGCAGTCAGTCTGTCTGACATGCCCTTGGAGATAAAAGCTAAAGGCCAGTTTTCCCACAGCAACAGTCAAGGAAGGTAAAAGCCAAACACAGCGTGACTCTTTTCACATGGGATTACAAAGAAATTCCTCAGCTAATTTAATCGTAAAWGAACCAAAAGCTGGAGTTCACGCGAAGCACAAAGACAGGTCTAACAGGACGCATGAGGCTACGGCCACTGCTAACAAACAGGAAGGAGCCGACTGAAAATACAATCTACACCTGAAGAGGATGGCAGGGTGCGGCCAGGTACAGACACACAACCATAAATCTATCGCAGTGGAACTGATAAACAGCACACAAACATGTCAGTCCTCTTGGATCATATGTGAGACAAACAGTTCTGATTAGAAAGCAAACCATGTGCACACATGCTTATCAGTTCCTGTTTAAGAGTACTTGGTTTTTAGCAGAAGACTTTGGCTGATTTTCCCCACTTATTTTCACTTCAACTGTGTACTTGAAGATGAAATCATAATGTGTTGTGTGGTTTTAAAAAAAGCACAAGCTCTAAAAACATCTACAGAAGAGAACAGTCTTTTGAAAAATATGAAAAAAACAAAACAAAACAAAAAAAAACCCCTGACAGAAGATACGAGAGATGCTTCTTTTTTAATATAAAATTGCTTTCTTGGTGCTAAAACACTACTTTATTTGTCAAACAGTTATCTTTGTGTCTTTTTAATGATTCACCACTTAGAACAAATTGTGCCTTTGTGACAGAATAATGGCTAAGTGCTGAGAGATGCAAGTTAAAATTGCTTCCTTGCCAAACTGTTCGTTCCTTTGGTTCAGGAGCCTTTTTAGGACTGAATGATTATCAGTCAGAATTTAGTGAACAAACATACAAAATAAAAGCACCACTCTGAAAAGGTCTTAGACAGAAAATTAGTGAAAAGCAGCTTTAAACAACTTTAAATTAGGGATGGACAGATTTCCTTAATTTTGAGAGATCAGCCAAGATCAGTGGAAAAGATCGGCTTCTCATCTACCTCCACAAAATCTGAAAAATCTGCCACTATATATATATA